CTATTTTTGTAGCACTACAAAAAAATAGATGGTTATGCACAGCTCCCTGGCTGCAGTTTGACAGAGTCACCACAGAGGCATGCTGTCCTGTGAGGACATAATAGTGGGGTACGCCTTACTCTTCCTATGCCTGGGGAGCTTGTCAGTGAACAATAGCTGAGGAGCAGGGATCCTGGTTTTCTCCAACTTAAAAAAACAATACCAACTTTTTTTAAACCAAAAATTAACCCCAAATACACATTTTTCCATGATGAAAATGACATACCATATTAATTAATCTATTAATATATAGATTAATGGCATTTTATTAATCATGGAAAAATGTGGATTTGGGGATACTTTTTTTTAACTGGAAATTGGGGATTTTTTTTTTAATCAGAGAAAATCAGGATCCCTGCTGATGAGGCTGCATGGAAGCTACCTGCAAGGGTAAGGGCTGATTGAACAGTCTTTGCCACCCAGTCAGTTCTCGCCAGGGCTGGCAGTAATGGTTAAAACGATGGCACCTTTACAGTCTACAACCTCATGATGATAACAGGAGATTTTAAAGTGACAGCTGCAGAAAGAGTGTGTCGCGGTCCAAATCAAGAATCCAGTGCCACCCCCCCACCATGGAAACACATGTCTGAGCTGCAGCAGACTCTGTTGATCTTGGATAAGCCTCATCAGCTATCTTCGGATACACAGATAAGACAATCATGGAAGACAGTCATCCATCTGTGACTGCAAGGGATGGCTGAATACCATTACAGTTTAAAGTTGGTGGTGCTTGAGCTACAGCAGCCCTTTAGAGTGAGAGTCAGTCTCCAGTAGGGCTGGAGGGGACCACCAGAGGTCATCTAATCTAATCCTCTGCCTGAGGCAGGGTCTTCCCTATCCAAAACATCCCATAAAAACCATAATCGAAACTCTACATAAAACTACAGTCAACCCTGACACAACACAGACCTAACACCCTAACCTACCACAGGTAAAGCAGGAGAACCATAGCGGTCAACATCTTGCTTCTAGAAAATGTTGATTCAATATACACTCAAGAGGTCTTGGGTAGAGGACCACACTCCCCACTTCAGAGAAAGGCAAAAACTCCTGCAATGCACACCAATCTGACCATGGGGTAAAATTCCTTCTTGGCTCCAAATATGGCAATTGGTCTGACCCTGAGCAGATGGGCAAAATCCTCTACCCAGAAACCTCTGGCTTTGGAACCAGCAGGAACATTGGCACAACCCAGTCAAAGTCCCCAGCTTTGGCTGTAGCCAACACTCAATGCCTCTGAGGAAGACTTAAAAACACCGTAGCACACATAGCAGAAAGGAAGGGGAGGGGACAACCAGCAGAAGTCCTCAGTTTGCAGGCAGTTCTGTCACCCTTGTTGCTGGGTGACAGGATTGCAGCAGTGGCTGATTGAGTGGTGGAGACTGGCTGATTTGCCCTTGCTACCCAGGGCTGCTCTCAAGGGGATTCCTGATGGGCTTCTTCTTGGACCAAGAGAGGAGTGGAGCAATATAGGATCCTGGGGGGGCAGGAATGAGGGTTTTCCAGACCAGTTGTTGTTCTTGGTCCAAGAAAGTCCTGCCTGGTGGTACAAAGCCCATGAACATGTGAACAAGTGCATTTTGGCACACCAAAACAGCTTAAAGTATGACAACATACCTATATTTGACCCAGTCACCTACAACATGCATTACACAAACATATTTTACTGTTCATGTGTGTTCTGGCTGATTGTGACCTTTAGTTTTTTTCTTTTTCCTGTTAGTCTTTATGATCTATGACATTCTTATTTTATGGAGTAAAGCCTATGAAATAAAATATTTTATCAGGGGAGACCAAGTTCTAGGAATGATAGACAATACATGGTCTATGTGATAAAATGCCACCAGCTAAAAAATATTGGAGAAATTTTGTTGGGTAGTGACAATAAAGGTGGCATTCACAAGAAGGCCAGGCACTGGCTGCCTCTAGTAATCTCTCAAGAACTTTGATGGAGTTTACTATAGCATTTTCTTGAACTTGACCTATAGTCACAGACTTCTTCTCAAAGCTGTTGCCTGCAAGGAGCAACAAGCCCACTCTGGTAAAATCTTATTCATAACAAAAATAATCGTACTTCTGTGTGTCAAAAATCCAGCAAAAATGCTTACCATTCTCTTACACAGAGAATTCCTAATCCTGTTTGCTTTCCAGTTTTTTGGTCTACAAGTAGGAACCTATGCAAATCACAATTTCACAGAAATCATGAAATTGGGTGTTCTTGGTGAAGTCCATAGAAAAAACAGAACAAAATCAAAAACCAACTAAAAAAAAAGTGCTAGCTCCCCAGTGGGAGTCAGCAGTCCTCTTGGTTATGCAGCCTAGCAGAAAGGGGGCTGCTGGCACTAAGGTGAGCAAGCAAGATGGCTACCACCCCTGCCCCTCAGTGCTGATTGGCTGAGAGGGCTGCCTGTTGTGTGCCTGTTGTTGGGGGGAGGCAGGGGGCACCATGAGAAGCCCATGAAAATGGAGGCTGGCTCTACTATCTGCCAGTGAAATTGGTCAGCTGCCACCTTGAGCTGGGTGAGCCCCTATAAATATGGGTAGCTATATTAAAGTGGAGATAGATCAGGCTGCAGTCTAAGATACTGTCTTGGCTTGTACTTTCTGCATGATTCCAAGAGCAACAAAATGATCAGGAAGCTAAAACTATATACAAAATTACTTTTGTGGTGAAATTGTTGAAAAAATGAACTTTTTTTTTAGCTGTTAGAATTCCAAAATTATTTTCTTTTCAAATTGAAATGAAAAACAGAAGTGTCAAGACTTTGCTAATTGAAAGATGTGTGATGCAGTATCTTTTAAAATGTTGTTAGAATGTTTAAGAATGTACCTGAAGAAAATATACTACTAGTTCTAAGCTACTATTAATATTAAATAAAATTCAGAATGAAACAGTATAGATATAAAATCCAAGTTGAATCAAATCAAATTAGGTTCGTCTCAATATGGGGTTGGAAGGCAACCCTCAAATTTATACAGTCCTTGTATATAGAATTCTCATTATAATAGGGCTGTTGCTTGATTTATATCAGAGCTGACTAAATATCAAAATACTCAAATCAACTTATTATTTAATGACTGAATTGAAATCTGAGAACCAAATTACAGAGCTTCCTTTTTAGCTTTCCTCATTTCTAGTTTCTTCCCTGATAATCCACAACAAACAAACAAATGTTCATTTTGAGCTAAACGATGGGCCAACTAGTTGCTTTTCTGGTGTTTTCTGTTTAATACAAGAAATTTAAGTTAGTCTATCAAGATGAAACCCAAATTAATACTTACATTTCACATAAGGTCTGTATGCCCATAAAAGCTATGAACTTTAGACAGAGGAAATTTTTTTGCACCAAGCATTTTGACCAGCTCTAAAGATGATGAGCTATTAAAATGGTATTTATGTTGATTGCAATACTTGGTTCATACTTTACAGCAGTCTTTTGGGCTAGGGACAGAAATTACACATACACCTGTGCGAGTGATGGGAAACCAGGTCAAATCTGTAACACAACAGAAGTTCAGTGCACATAAACTGCTTTCCAAAATGGCCTAAACCAGTTTAAGATGAACCTGGATAGATGTAGTATCAGACTTACCTGACTTAGGTTAAATTGGTTTATTGAACTTCTGTCCCATATTCCCTCCAGATGCAAAATCAACTCACAATCCCCCAGCATCCCAGGATGCTTTACACCTCCTCCACAACCTCCCTCCTCACACTGTTGGTGGGCTAGCCTTGGCCCAAGCGGTCTGCTCCAGCCAAGCAGGGAGGCATGCTCTTGCACTCCCTGGCTTCTGGCCTGGGCTACTGTAGGCATATGGCTACATTTCTGGAACCAAAAGTGAATATCTGTTCATTTGCTTATCAGTTCATTCTAAGCAGCTTAGACTAACCTGTGAAGATTGAATCAATTCAGC